CCATGTGGCTCGTGGCTTACCAGCATCTTCAGATGCTGCTTGTCATGGCAGCGGCTGGCAGTGTCTCCCTGACTCAGCCTTCCACTTCCCAGAATTCTCCTCTCTCCTTGTCCTGCCGATACTTCCTGCCTGGCCACTGGCCAATCAGTGTTTTATTTATACAGAATGATATCCACAGCGGTAAATGCCTGGCCTTACTTTGGCTTGTTGCTAGCCAGCTTTCTTAACTTAAATTATCCCATCTATATTCTGCTTCTGGGCTTTTTCCATTCTCTTACTTCTGTAAATCTTCCTCTTACTCTGAGGCTTGCTGTGTAGCTGGGTGGCTGGCCCCTGGAGTCCTCCTCCTTCTCTGCTACTTCTTTCTTCACTCCTTCATCTCTTTTCTTCCTCTCCTCTTATATTTCTCCTTCAATATATTCTCTCTGACTGCCAGCCATGCCTATCATTTCCCCTGCCTTGCTATCGGCCAGTTCTTTATTAGATCACCAGTGTTTTAGACAGGCACACTAATACAACTTTACAGAGTTAAACCAATGGAAAATAAACAAAAGTAACACACCTTAAAATAATGTTCTACAACAGTCCTCTAACGAGGCCCCATCTCCTAAAGTTTTCACTACCTTATGGTAAGCCATCAAATCAATCAATGGAATGATACATTGATGAGGAGAGAGGACTCACAGTCCAATAATCTGCTAAAAGCCACATCTCTGAACATTGCTGCAATGGAGACCCAGTCCTCAACATTTGAGCCTTTGAGAAACACTTCAGACACATACCCTTCAAAGCATTGTCTTCTGTGTTAAATGTAAACTTTTTATCACATGGGTTCCAACAAAAAATATAGCTTCAATTCTCTGTGGCTGAAGTGAAAAACAAAACTATATCTACTGCAGTCTTCTGAAATTAGCTTTCTTCATTCTGTGAAATACCAACTTACCCAGATAACACACAGTTATGGTATGTTCCTTTTTAAAGATGTATGTCATCTGAGCAGAGTGCTATAATTTATTCACAGTCTTGAAATACATACTTAGGTTATTTTGGTATTTTTTTTCTATTACAAGCACAATGTTGCCAGTACAGTTTTGCAAGCATTTTTTTAAAGGAAAGGATATATACCTATGAGTGAAGAATTTATATATGGACACACATATGTATGTACATACATAGATTTTCAACTTTAGATTTTTTACTTTTCTCCCAAAGTGATTAGGCACATTTACATTGTCTTTGCTAATGTATCATATCGATCAGATTCCCACCTTCCAAACCTTAGCATTATTGGATTAGTATTGATCAACTTACTAACCATAAAATATTATCCCCCTCAATCTTTCATCTGCAATTTATAGGCTAATAATAAGCCTGAGCAATACTTATATTTTATTTGCTGTATGGATTTAATGTCTGCCATGTAGTTTGGGTACTTTCCAGCTGGATCTTTTGAGACTGTATTGATTTTCAGTACTGGGATTGAACCAAGTGTCTTTGTTGGGTACTTTGCCACTGAGCTAATATCCCCAGCCCCTTTCTATTTTATTTTGACGGGCTGGCTAAACTGTCCAGGTGGCCTCAAACTTTTAATTCTTCCTCAACCTTCAGAACAGCTGAAATGATAGGCATGCACCAGCCTTCCCCTGCCCCACACTTCCTTCACACATATTCTCAATATTGTCAAAGGGAGGTGATGAATCTTGACTATTTCTGAATAGATATGTCTTTCCCAATCCACTCTTAGAGTTCTTTGGGTCACAATGGTTGACTTCAGTTGCTGGTATATTCTTCCCTTACTAGTAATGGCTCATGTTTGTGGGATGAGAAGTTTACAGGACACTTTTGAAACCTTATCTCAAGGGACTGTCACTGTCTCAACTTGGAAAAAAAACAACAAACAACCTAGCTATTAGCATTCTTGTTTTACAGGTGAGGAAACTAAGCAGCCTTCCTAACACTGTAGGGCTAAGTCCTCAGACTCAGCATCCTACATCCTTTGTAAGATTATATGATGCTTCAGCTGTTTGTAGATTATGGCTTATTCATTTAAAAAATATTCTCTGCTTAGCATCATTATCCATTTCTCTCTCTCTCTCTCTCTCTCTCTCTCTCTCTCTCTCTCTCTCTCTTTCCTATCATTTCTTCTCCTCTCTTCCTCTTTCTCCTTCTTTTCCCTCCTTCTTCCCCCTCTCTCTCCTTCTCTTTTGTATATAGTACAAGCATACAACTCTTCTTTAGAGTCCATTTTAGTTCCATTATCTACAGAATGAATAGATAAGTAAATAAAGCCATAGGTAATTTTCTATAAATTAAAAAAATATTTATTTGTTTGTTTCTTTATTGTGGGGGGCAGGGTGGACATTTACATGCAGAAACCTGTGTGTGGCCAGAGGACAACTTCTGGGAGTGAGTTCTGTCCTTCTACCATGTCGGTCTCAGGGACAGGGCTCAGGTGTTCAGTCTTGGCAATAAGCTTCTTTCTTTAACTGCTAAGCTATCTCAGTGGCCCTCCAAGAAAAATTTCCAATTGGAATTTTTTTTGAGAGTCTTGAGTTAAATTAAAAAAAAATAGCAGGAGTTGCCTATTCTGTAATAAACTTTTTTTTTTTTTTTTAAGCAATGGTCTGGGTACAGTTGGGCATGTTTGAATCCCAGCACTCCAGAGGCATAGGCAGGGGGCTAACTTCAAGTTTGAGGGCAGCGAAAGTTAGGAAGAATAATAAAGGAAAATATACTTTTAACACTTGTTGTCTTATTTGGTTGCTTTCTTTCTACCACTCTCTATTTAATTATAAATTAATCTCCATTTGTTATGGCTAATTTAAATCATGCCAAGGTTAGATTTAGTACTGAAATGATCCCCTTATTCAACCTCCAGCTGAAGCAAATCTGAGCAACTGGGTGGCTATCTAACATCTTCTGGGAGAGCCAGAAGACAGGGAGTTGAAGGATGCCTCAATGTAGCTCGAAAATAGTTACCAAAAAAGTACTTATTATTTTCTTCTAGTTGCAAAATACATACATTGCTAGATCAATAAATTCTCAAGTTCATACAACTACTTCTTGAGTAGTCTTTAACCTGTTTTATTTTATTGTTGACAGTGTCCCCTTGTAGCCCACACCAGCCTCAACTCATCTTGTAGCCAAGGATAGATAACTTGAGACTTTTGATCGTCTTGCCCTTACCCCTGGAGTACCAAGACTATCCGCATGTAGCACCAAACCCAGTGTATGCCGTGCTGGGGGAATGAACTCAGGGCCTTGGACAGACTAGACAAGCATCCTGTCAACTGGGGCACATCCTCAGGCACCCCTCTTTAACCTCTGGCATTTTGATGGTTGGTTCTATTCTTACATGTATTATAGACATTGAAGAGAACTGTGTTTGATGAAACCAGCAGTAACAAGAAAGGACCTGGGGATAACTAAACAAACAGAAATCCTACTTTGAGGTACTCTAATCACCAGCTAGTTGGTAAGCACTTCAGTACTTCTGGGACACACCCCTTGATGACGAAGAAAGAGATAGGCCCACATCACTTCTTCCACAAAGAGAAAAGTCTTTAACATCAACTATCCGTGGTCTGCCGGTAAATACTAACATGGCCCTTTCTTGATTTCTTCCTAGGATTATTACACCTACAGTACTCACCCACCAGTATTTCCACATCAGCATCCAATTTGAAAATGGTCATCGCTTTGTTTTTCTCAAGGTGCTGCCCTGGGCTCATATTTTGATTTGGAGTCTGAGAGTTGTGTTACACTGTGTGTCTGAAGATGAGTTCTCTTCTGTGTGTATTTCTTTTGTGAGTCAGGTATTATGCCTGGCTCCTGCAGCTCACGGTAGCTGGGGATAATCACACCACAAAGTGGTAGCACAAGAGAGCTGAGTGTTAAGGCAAGGGGCACCTAATGACCATGGAATTCAGACCTGTGTCCTGGGGGGAACCGGGTGAGTTGGGTGTTGGTAATTTTGAGTTTCACATACTTTACAATTGTGGGTCGGTCATTACAGGCTGTGAATGTAAGAGTCACCCCTTCCTAACTGGGCAGCTTCTAGAATCACCTAGTCCAGAGGGTCTCAACCAGGCAATTATCCACTTGAGAGGAAAAGGAAAAAGTGTGTGTGTGTGTGTGTGTGTGTGTGTGTGTGTGTGTGTGTGTGTGTGTGTAGGCATGTCCATGTTCTGGTGTACATGTGGATATTACTTTTGGGAGTCGGTTCTCTCCTTCCACCACATGGATCCTGGGTATCGGAACTCAGGTCAGGAGGTCTGGCATCAGGTACCTTTAACTAGCTGAGCCATCTCACTGGCCCTCTCATTTTAATTTTAAGAAGTACATCTTCCAATTAATTGCTTTAACAAAGAGGTTTGTGAGTAAGATGACCATATAATTGAAAGTCTACTTTGGGACAAGGGTTAAGATAGGCGGGACTTTGGGACAACAAACCCGACAGGCGATGTCCCAGGTAAATAAATAAACAGGGTCTGACTGCGTGGAGAGGGAAGAGTGCCCCAGGCCTTTCATGAGATGAGGTAGGAGGGTTGATTTGGTAGAGTCTTCTTCCCTCAGGAGGACAATGCCCAAAGCTCTAGACATTTCCTGCACAAGATAAGCCAAGGGATAATTTTAAACACTTTACAGGGGTGTGTACATCCTTTAATTAAAAGTAGTGTTGGAGCTGGAGAGTTCACGGGTAGGCCAGTTGCTTGCCCTGCTGGAGGCCCCTAGGTCAATCCTTCAGCATCTCCCCCTTCCTCCGTCTTAAGGAAAGACTGTGCTAACGGCCAGGCTTCTGGAGAGCACTGTTTGCTGCCACTTTAGAAGGGAAAAAACCCAGAGACAGAAGCCCCCCAAACCTTACTAAGAGCATGATCTCTGGGTAAAGACACGTTTGAGAGCCAGACCATGGGCCCTTATGTCCCTGTGTGGTCCGTGCAGTCCGGTCTGTGCAGACCGGTCAGTCCATCCCTTTCAAAATGCAGGAGAAAGCTTACCTCAAAACCTGGCAGGAAAACCATCTGCCTGAACACTCAATGGAGAGAGACCTTGCTGAGGTTCCACCCCGCCCATGGGCTCAGGCCCCGCCCACTTGCCAAGCCACCAAGTTCTTACCTCAAGCTCCGCCCACCGCCACAGACCCCACCCACCCGGGCCGGCACGCTCGGCTCAGACCCCGCCCACCACTCTTCTCGGCCCCGCCCATGCCCCCCGCCCGCCCTTAAGGCCAGCTGTTGCAGAGGGGTCCGTTCAGAGCCCTCGGGTCTTCCGTCGGCCTTGGCCGCAAAGCCTGTAGTGCGCGTGCGCGGCGTCGCGGACCGGGTTTCCCCCGCAGCCCGGACTTGGTACAGCCGGGCGGTTGGTGCGGTCGGCAGCTGCAGCCCGGGGCGCGCTTTTCAAATCGTTCCCCGACTGACTTGCACCGACATGGAGGGGCGGCTGCTGAGGGGCCTCCCCGCGCAGCAGGTGAGCGAGGCCGGGGACTGGCGAGCTGGAGCCTGGAGAGAGATCAGGAGGCGAGCGTGCTCCGTGGCTTTGCACGCCCCTAGGCTGCACCCAAGGAGGAGACTGAGGCCGGGGCTGGAGAAGGACACCGGGGCCCTGCTCACCTGCGGGTACTCCTCAGGCTTGCAAAGCCGAGGTGGTAGCTGGGGAGCGGGGTGCCGGGGTTGCTCCCAGCGCCTCCTCGTCCTGCACCGCTGTGCATCTAATAGTGTGGGCGTGCATCAAGCTGGAGGGGGGCGGGCGGCGGGGTGGACGCTCAAAAGGGATGTTCTTAGCTTTACGGGAAGATAGAAGTTTAAACGAGGATTCTTGAACAAATGCTAGGAAAAAGGGAGGACACTGAATTGCAGACAAAGTCACTGTTTTTTAGTCACGTAAAATGAGTTCAAGCCTTTTTTACTCAGCGTAGTAGAGAAAGATTATTTCTTGACCACATCAGTTAGTCAAGTGTTAAAAGTATACTTCCTGTTCATTACTTTTAGCCTTTTAATTAAAAGAAAACTCAAATGCCTTTCAAGCTACATCTTCACTTCCATTTTAATTTTCACCTTCTTTTACCGGCTTCTGAAGTATAGTAATTTGCGCTATATACAGTTGCCAGATTTGTGGGTCAAGACTGGAAGACTGCTGTTGCATAGAATTTCCTTAGCAGATAAGGCATTGTTAGGAAGTAATTCCTCTGTAATTCTCTGAAAAGTTGAGCAGGCTTTGAGTCAATTGTGCAAACCGTATTGGTGGTAACAGGTGCTGTTTTCTACTAACATTCGCCAAACGTTCAAATCTCCTGTAAATTATTTCTTCTTATTTTGTTACGTATTTTAGCTGTCCTGTTTGCGTATTCCAAGGATAACCTTGCACTCCTGAAGCTCCTCTTGTGACCACCTCCCTAGTGTGGAGATGATATGAGTGCCCCACCCCGCCTGACCGATGTGGAGCCAGTCAAACCCAGCGCCTTGTGCATTCTAGACAAGCACTCTGTCAACTGACACAGACTTGATTTTTAGTGAACTGAAATAAGATCTGTTGAGTTTCTTGTAGGGATCATGTGAGTGCTGGTGTGTCCAAGTCCAAATGTGTTTATTAGTGTGTGCTGCAGCGACATTTAAGAATAGTGGAGAAGAGAAAGAATAAGAAAGTGTGGCTGTTTGTAAGGAAAATCACACACACACACACATACACATACACGTGTGTGTGTGTGTGTGTGTGTGTGTGTGTATGTGATACTTAAATATTATATATAGCAAATATGGTAAAACTAGTTTATATTAATATGGTAAGATATAATTGTTAGTAATTTCTGAGCATTATAATATCAAAATAAAATGCAGAATTGGTTTTTCTTTGGGTCTTTGAAGATAAACAACAAAATAGTAATAGGTTTCAACTTCACAGGAATACTGAGCCAGGAAGAGAATTTTATACTTGACTAACACTAAATTTTTATTTGGTATGTGTCCCCCACGCCCACCCCCCAAAAAAACGAAATCTATGATCTAATAATAGGATGAAGCCAGAGGTTCGGTCCTTTGAGCTCTGCTCCAACCGTGGAGGTGTCTGGGAATAGCGTATTGGTTTTGGAGTGAGATCCAGGTCAAATCACACTCTGCTGTGCAATTCCCGATGACCCACGGCTTGCACTGAGTCCGGTCTCCACAGTCGCAGAGTGGCTGAAGTGCCTGTCTTAGGAAGGTCTTGGGATTTGATAGCCTCTCTATCTAAGGGACAGGACTAACACTTGTCCTGTCCTCTGAGCAGCCGAGGCAGCCACCTAACCCTTCCTTGTAAAGTTTAAGCTCCTGCAAAAAGCACCAGTACACATCAAGTTTGAGAAGAAGCATTTTGTCCCTGTAAAGTGTTTTCAGAACGTGAATGAGATTTTATCCTCGGTTCTCTAGACTGGTTAGTGTCAAAACAATTTCTTACATAAACAGTTCTTCAGTGCGTGGAATTTTGTTCAGAAACAGAGGTTAGGGCTGGTGAGAGAGCGCCAGGGTAAACGTGCTTGCTCTACGAGGTGGTGACTTAAGCTGATCTCTGGGACCTGTGGTGGAGGGGGAGAGCTGGCTCCCCAAAGTTGCTGTCTGACCCCCACATGAATACCATGGTACTACAAGTATCTGTGTATGCACACACACACACACACACACACTCACACTCACTCACTCCCTCTCTCTCATAATAATAATAAATAAAATGTTTTTAAAAGTAAACATACTCTATATAAGCTGCTTTTAATTTTCTTTATCTTCCCCTTGGTCTCTTTGCCAGCGTGGCATGGTTACAGTTGTTAGGCGGGCAGTAATTTCAGTCAGAATTACTTATGGAGTATTTCTCTTTTGTTTTTCCAAGCTCCCCATCCCTGCTTTCAATGTTCAAAGTCACTTCTTAGGATCAGCGATAAGGCCATTCTCTGTCTTTGTGCTGTTCTAGCTCTTAAACCCTGTCAGACATCTCTTCTCCATAATCTAGATGGGCTGCTTGTAATCTTGGCTTTTCTGTGGCGGTAGAGATCAAATTTAGGACCCTGTGCCTTCTAGAGATGCATTGCACTGCTAAACTAGCTCTGATCCCTCTTCCCTGTGTGGGTTCACACGTGTAGAGTTATGCTTGTCTTGTACACAGATGTGCAGAGTTACACTTGTCTGCACACACGGATGTGTAGAGTTACACTTGTCTATGCATACACATGTGTAGAGTTACGCTTGTCTGTGCACACACATATGAAGGTCAGAGGTCAGCTTCAGTTCTTTTATTCTCCACTGCTGCGTTGTTGATTTTTTTATTTTTAAGACAAGCGTTCACCATGTAGCCCCTGGCTGGCCTGAAATTCAGTATGTAGAGAAAGCTGACCTGAAATCACTGAGATCTGCCAGTCTCTGCCCTCTGCCTCCCCTGTGCTGAGATTAAAGGTGTATGCCACTATTCCTGTCTCTCTCTCTCTCTCTCTCTCTCTCTCTCTCTCTCTCTCTCTCTCTCTCTCTCTCTGTGTGTGTGTGTGTGTGTGTGTGAGAGAGAGAGAGAGAGAGACAGACAGACAGAGAGACAGAGAGACAGAGACAGAAGGAATCTTCTACTGAACCTGGAACTTTCCATTTGCTGCTAGCCTGATGGCTAGTAAGCCCAGGATCTATGTCTTCGCCTCCCCGGCACTGGGGTTACAGGGACACACCGTGGTGCCTGGCTTTTCTGTGGCTGAACTCAGGTCCCCATGCTCGTACAGCGAGCCATCTCCCTATCTCCCCATTTCTACTTTTACGTATCTTCAAGGTTTATTTTTATTTATGTCCATATATGTGTGTGTGTGTATGCACATGTGTGTGGGGCCCCTGGGAGGCCAGGAGAAGGTGCTGGCTTCCCTGGAGCTGGAGTCATAGGTGGTTGTGAGCTGCATGTTGTAGGTTTTGCCAACCAAACTCCTCACTGAGGAGCCGTCTCTCCAGCCCTTACCTTCTGCTTCTAAAGCGTCCAACGTTTCCGTTTCTAGCTTGGCTCTGCTCACTCCATCTTCGCTGCTCACTTTAATGACGTGTCGAATCAGGACAGCGACGTGAGTTTCTGTTTGACCTGATTATACGCATGCCCTTATTCAGAAAATGGAACCCTGGAAAAGAGGATGACCAGCCCCACTCTTCTCGGGGACTTGCTTTCCAACGACGCTCCAGCAGGATGCATATGGAGTGCCTTGTCTCATTGTCCATGGTCATCCTTTACTCTGCCTGGCTGCGCCCTTCGGGCCCAGGCATTAACAGTGATGATTTAAGTTCCTCAGTCCTCTTGGAAGACAGTCAGCATCACTGCATGCTCAGTAGACGCCCCTTTTCTCATGATCTTTATTCTCACGGGATCGCCCCAGACATCAGTTTCTCCCCAGCAGTACCATGTACACCTACTCAAAAAAGACTAGTCCTTCGGCTCTATAAACCATTACTAAGCTAATGCTGGTTAGCATTGGTCAGAGGTTTCCTTCTTCACAGACGTGTGCTAACAAGTTGTGTGGGAAGCATAAGATTGCTGTAGTCGTGGACACCGTCAACTGAGTGTGTGCAAAGACGATGTGTACATACACTTAGCAGTTAGTTCGCCCTGCTGAGGCAGCCCTCTTCCATCTGTTTGATGAGCCACAGGGAAGGAGGCATGGTCCAAGTCTGTAGTGCGGATTCACTGCAGTGGGGGTAAAGGGGAACATGGTAAATATTTTCCATTTTGCTGACCACGGCCTTTAACTTTCTCACCCTGACCCATTGTAGTTGGAAAGTAGCCACCGCCAGGATGGGAGAGAGTGATTCAGAAGGACTTCATTTATGCGCTAGTGTGATTCAGCACAACTTTATTTACAAAAGCGGGCACCCACCAGGCTCTAGTTCGCTAACTCCTGCCGTAAAGGACGACATTGTAGTAATAACTGCCACACATGCCTCATTTCCTTGGTGAACATCAACTTAATCACACGGATAAGCGTTTGTTCGTTTTTTTTTTTTTTTGTTTTAAGGCTTTAGGGTCCTTAGCTCTACTGTTTCCCCAGCCACTGTGATTTTGTGAGTCCTTTTCAACTGGTGAAGTCTGGAGAAGGCTCTCCTC